CTGTTATCTGTCCGCCATGTTCTCCCGGAAGTTTTCGATTAATCTGACTCTTGCTCCTTACAGTGAGGTTTGTTTTGATTGTCTCAGTAATAAGGATTCTGGTCAGTGTATGTGAAAAAGAAAACAATTGCAAATGCTTAAGTAATTTGTACCACTGGCCCTGAATCAAGGCCGGCAGCTTCCTGACACTGTTGGTTTCAAGCAGGAGCCTAAAGAGATGTCTTTCTATGATCTGTTGGCCATTTCAGAACTTGGGCAGTGAAATGGTCAATTCATTAGAAAGAAACAGCTTGAAACAACCCTGCTTCCCCCCTCCCCCCAATGAGCAGCTGTGAGCATAGCAGGCTCCAGTGGCCCAGGACGGGAGCCACCAGTGTTTACTGGGACCCACACCATGCTGGGACTTTCAGCACTGAGAAACCAAGCAACCCCTCCTGACCCTGGTGAGCGGCTGTGAGTGTGGCAGGCTGCAGTGGCCAGGACAGGAGCCTCTGGCATTTACTAGGACCCATGCCATGCTGGGACCTGAAGCACCAGGAAACCAAGCAAACACTCCCCACCCCCACCTGGTGAGCAGCTGTGAGCATGCAGCCCAGGACAGAAGCCACAAGCGTTTACTGGGACCCGTGCCATGCTGGGACCTGAAGCACTGGGAAACCAAACAACCCCTACCCCCCTGGTGAGTGGCTTTGAGCGTGGCAGGCTGCAGCGGCCCAGGACAGGAGCCTCTGGCATTTACTGGGACCCATGCCATGCTGGGACCTGGAGCACTGGGAAACCAAGCAACCCCCTCCCCCCTGCCTGTTTCGTTTTGTTGAACTTCAATATACATGAAAGTATGAACAGCTATTTTGAAGAGAATGAGAGACTACAACAGCCATTAGTGACTTCCCTGTTGTCTAGTTTTGAAGACCTAAAACACCTTCCTCATTCTGTTTGGATCAGTTTTATACTATGTTGTTTTGTATGAATTCTCTATATGCAAAGACATGGATAACTATTTGGAAAAAACAAGAGACAATTGATAGACTGTGAGACCTCAAGTCTAGCTTTGAAATTTATATCTCTTACATTGCTTTGTTACGTCCTATTTTGTTCTGTTTTGTTGTGTTTAATTTTACCCCCTTTAAAATAAAATTTAAAAATTTTTAAAAAACAGTAATTTGTACCAAACAAGTGTAACGTTTAATATTCTTCAACACCATTACTGATTAGTTCAAGAAAAGTTAATCTGTTGTGAGTTGACAATGAGCATAAATCAGTGACTAGATTCCTGCGCATGAAAACTACTGCAGAGGGATATGTTTAGTTTAGAAAACAGAATGAGTGAATAAAATCTTAGCCTAATTTTGTAGTACTAAGAATTGTGAGGTTCATGTGGGTCTTAGCTGTCCAGATATTTGGATACATACAGAGCACATAGAGAGTCATGGTCTGAAAGATAAGGAATTTTAAATTGCTCAGTTGCTGAAGGAAATCAGTATTGTTTGCCAATATAACCTAAGTGCCTAGGACATTTCAAGGAAATTTCAGTCACAAGAGAACAGAAAAGTAGAATTAAATAAAACTTTGTTTTAAATTCTGTGATCCCAAACAACATCTGTGAAGTAAATGGGAAAATGTTGTATTACACTCCACTTTTAACCGCTGGTAACCACATTGGACTACAATCACTGTTTTGCCAATAATTATTAAAAATAGTAACACTTTTTGACTAGAAATCTTGGCTATTTGCTGTAGTGGTAAAAGATTATTTTTGTTTTATTTTTAATTTTTTTTTAATTTTTATTCCATCACTAAGAGATAATTTAGCACATACAATGCATAAGATAGTGTAAATTCATGTATGAATAAAACCCAGTACTGTACATTAAGTAAGCTCTCAAGTACCCTCCTGGGGTCTTGGTAAGTAGGAATCTGACAGATTAGTGCAAGTAGTAGAGAGATGAGAGAAGGGGAGAAGAGAGGATGGAGGTCTGGGAAATGCAGGCGGTCCGTCTGCGTTGCAGCTGAGGAGCCCGATGGAGGGATAGCTTGACCTTGGGATGAATAGTATGAATTGAAATAATAGAAGGGGGCTGGGGATTTAGCTCAGCGGCATAAGCACCTGCCTTGCAAGCAGGCGGTCATGAGTTCGATCCCGGTACCAATAAAAAGTTAAAAAAAATAGTAATAGGAGAAGCTAAACAAAGGAGTAAAACTTCCCCACATAAGTGCAGGTGTGCACACACACACAGTTTACCAACAAGTCTCTACACACTCCAGAAAAAGAAAAATATGTAAACATTTTAATACTAAATTTACTGAAACATCGTGAGATGAAAGTAAGTTACCTTTGGCCTCAGCAATTACAAGAGGCGCCCAAAGCATTGCTGTCTGCTCCCAGATGCTTTTCAGTACGGCCAGCTGCTGCTTGGGTAACCTCGGTCACCGAGATTGCTGGGCATGTATTTTCAGTTTCTTCTCTAAGGACCGATGTAGAGTTTTCTGTGATTTATGACACCACCTAGGGGCTCCCATATGAGAATAACACCATCTGCTGAACAAACTTACACCATGTTTCTTTTCCTGAAGTGTATATGCATTATTTTGGTGGACTCTGTGTTACAGGAATGTATCCTTTGCAGTTCAATGCGGTAGCTGTTCTCTCAAGAGCAGTGTTTATATTCCTGTTCATTCCTTTCTGGTACCGAAATTCGACTCACAACCTCCACCTCATGCTTGCCAGGCAGGCGCTTGTGGAGCTGAGCTATATCCCTGACACTTATATCCTTGTTTTTAACAGGAAAAAGATATTTTTAAAAGTTTTATGTCTAAGGTTACAATTTTCTGGTCATCATATAGAAAACTGACTAGAGTTAACTTGAGTGACAATTTTGAAATTTTTTAATAGTAAAAAGTGTTTCCATTACTAATCCCTCTGTTTTTCTTGACATTTTTTAGATTGACTATTCTATAACCCTTTTATTGGTCAGATTTTGATGTTTTTCTCAGTTTATAAATAAAAAAAACATTTATTACACATTTTTCTCATTGCATTGCTGTGCCCGTTTTTGGGAAATACACCACTGATTATCATATTTTCATTTTTCTTTCTAAGCGTATAAAGTCTTGATTGTTTTAAGGGCACCTCCAACTCAACATGTATAAGACACTGAGCTCATAATCGACCTCCTATACATTCACAAAGTTCCCTGACTGACCTTTTATTCATTTTACCCCCTAATTATAAATTAAGGCTGTCCAGCCCTCCACCTCCACTACCAGAAATTCACATCCATTATCTTTCATCCTTATTAAAATACTGTTAAACTGGGCATAGGGTTACATCTGAAGCTGAGGCAGGAAGGTTGCCAGGAATTTGAGGCCAGCCTAGGCTATAAACCAGTCTGAGCTACATAGTTTAAGACCCTATATAATAAATAGAAAATAAATAAATGAATAAACACAATAAAATACCCCACTAGTCTCCTCACTCTGACTCTGCCCTCCTTTCGAGGCAGTTTGTCATGCTGCGGTATTACTTTCCAGATGAAAACTCCGAAACCATTTGGAGGCAGCTCATTATAGTGAAGGCAAAAACCAAAACCTTTTCTTTCTTTTTTTTTTTTTTTCATTTTTATTGGTACCAGGGATCGAACTCACAACCGCCTGCTTGCAACAAAACCTTTGAGCTAGGACTCCTTACATCCGCCTCCGTGTTTCATTTCCTGTTCACTTGTCTGCAATCACTCTGGAGTCCTCAGCATCTGCTCCCAAGTGATCCCCTCAGAGGCTCTCTGTACCCGGCTTTTAAATCATTTCCCTGTCACACTTTTCTTCTCCTCCTCCTACTTCTCTTCCTGCTACTCCTCTGCCAGGTCTTCGTCCTCCCTCTTCCTCTCTCATTCTCCTCCTCTCTCCTCCTCCTCCTCTTCCTCCTCCTAGCTGCTATCTGTAAGGTGCCTTTAATTTACCCAGGGAAGCATACTTCAAATTACAGCATCAGGTGCACATGTTCTTGTCCCTCACAGCACTGGGTCACTGCTGCAGCTCTAATATGCACCTGGCAATCTGATTGAATGCTTAAGTGAATTAGTGACTGACCATTCCTTGAGCTAAATTTTAAAATTAAGCTTTTCGGCGAAATTAGATTATTAATGTGGGATAATTTAGTGTACGGACAATGGCATTTTGCATTCATTATTTCATAGTAAAGTTATCCTTTTCTGTTATAAATGGAATCTCTAAGTGGTTTTCACTCTGTTGACAGTACTGGAATGAAATCTAGTTGGTCATTGTTGCCATTTAGTTGTTTGCATTTTTATTTAGTTATAAAAACTTCACATAGAATTTTACTGTTAGAAAAGCATTTTTATAGCTGGCATTATCTAAAATAAAAGATGTTTACATAATTTTTTAATCTCCATTGATGATTAACTTTTGTATCATGAAACTAGGAAAGGTACTCCTGTTGGGGCAGTGCGGGGCAACTTCTGGGCAGTGTCGCCCTTTGCACATGTAACACATTTCCTAGTTTGAGAAAATCTTATAATCAGTACCTCTATAAAACTTAAGAGCTCAGGGCTGGGGATTTAGTTCAGCGGCATAAGCGCCTGCCTTGCAAGCAGGCAGTCATGAGTTCAATCCCTGGTACCAATAAAAATGAAAAAGACAAAAAAAAAAACTTAAGAGCTCGCACCATTCTTCCTTTTGTTACTTACATCTAATTTCTGTGAGCAGGGTCTCATCACACTGATGCCCTCCAGCACGTTGAGAGGCTTCGGCCAGCATTCAGTGTGAGCTCAGAGCCAGGCTTGTGCTGGGCCCTTGCTCCACACGCGCTGTGGTGCTCACCCAGCCGAGGTGCTCTGTGCTTTGTGTGCATGCGACAATCCGAAAGAACTTCATTGCACTCATGGAGTTCAGACTAAAATATTTCTAGAATATCACTTTTATCGTATTTTTATTATTTAACTTATGTATTATTCAGAAAATCATTTAAATAATCTTTCTTGCAGGAACCTCCAGAAATTTAGCCTTTTTGGGGACATAAGTATTCTACAACAGCAAGGAAGTTTGTCAAGCACGTACCTCAGCAGGGCGGACCCTGACGGCAAGAAAATTAAACAGTGAGTTACACAGTTAGTAGACAAGGCTTATTTCAGTGATAATTCTAGCTGTCTTCTATAAAATTATGATATAGGGGCTGGGGATTTAGCTCAGCGGCATAAGCACCTGCCTTGCAAGCAGGCAGTCGTGAGTTCGATCCCTGGTACCAATAAAAACGAAAAAAAAATTATGATACAAAAGAGTAATGATTTTGTTTTCTAAAAGAACGCATGTCAGAATAATGATGAAATACTGCATGCCATTCCATGTCCTGAATCTTCAAGACAAATCAGAATAGCTTGCTGGACATTATTGCTACCTAAAACTGTGACTCTTTAATTGCCTTTGCTATATAACAAATCGTGCATCAATAGCCTTTTCTACCACTTGGGTATAAAATACTGTTTTCCTTAGATGTGGAACCTATTTTTATGTTTAATATTTCTATATGCTTAACATATATTGTAATGCGAATTTTAATGGCATTTAGTGTGGGTTGAATAGAAATGAACTGAGGGAAAATGTATCTCAACATTACATGCCATTTATCACGTGTTTCAAAAATCATTGTTGAAAAATGGGAACCTTTTGTGAGATTATTGTGTCTGTGTTTTCCTTACAGAATTCAGCAGCTGTTTGAAGAAATACTGAGTAATAGTAGGCAACTGAAATGGCTGTCCTGTGGGTTTATGCTGGAAATAGTGACCCCAACATCCCTGTCATCTCTCTCCAACTCCGTTGCCAACACCATGGAGCATCTAAGTTTACTGGACAACAATAACCCTGGTAACAGCACTCTCATCACTGCAGTCGAACTGGAGCGATTCGTCAATCTGCGCTCACTTGCTCTGGACTTCTGTGACTTTACAGCTGAGATGGCAAGAGTCTTAACCGATAGCGACCATGTGCCTTTGCAGCGACTGTCTCTCCTGGTCCACAATGTTTCTGTGATGCACAAGTCTCTGGACAACATGCCCAATGATGAGCATTGGAAAGCCCTGTCACGGAAGAGTGCCAGTCTCCGCGTCTACATAATGGCATTTGATATCAAAAATGAAGACATGTTGAAGGTCCTGAAACCCAGTATACCACTGGAGAGGATTCACTTCGACAGCTTCGTCACTTGCGTGTCAGGGGCTATTGTGGATCTCATATCCAGGCAGTATGACAAATTCCTCACCCACTTTATACTGATGAATGATATGATTGACACGTCTGGCTTTCCAGATCTTAGTGACAACAGAAATGAAGATCCTTTGGTTTTATTAGCATGGAAGTGCACAAAGCTCTCTCTGCTAGCAATTCATGGTACGTAATTTTGTTCACTATTAGAATTACACATAAAATAGTTTACACCCATAAAAAGATGTGTTAAGACATTGTATAACAAATTGATATGTACACTCTTGCACTTAAGTTTGTAAAACGCACCACTTAGAAATTGAAAGCCACACCTCAGCCCCCTGGCATTCTCCAACTTTACCTCTTAATCTCTCTCTTCTTTCATACGGTGTTTCACTCACACACAGAAGCCATTTGAAAATAATTCAGCTAAGAAGATATTAACACCTGCAGTAAGTATTATCTCCTCTCATCACAAGACACCCTGCAGAGCAGTAAGACAGAAGGAAAGAAATAATTTTTTTTTGTGTTCACTGCCTCATCTTTTAGGATCAAGATTTTTTTTTTTTTTTGGTCTTTTTGAGACAGAGTCTCACCATGCAGTTCAGACTGGCCTTGAACTCACTTTGTAGCCCAAGCTGGCCTGAAACTCAGTGATCCTCCTGCCTCAGCCTCCAAGTGCTGGAATTACAAGTATGCACCACCTTGCCTAGCCAGGTCTAGATACTGATGTGTTTGGACGATTTTTTTTAATTCCATTGATTGTTTATTTCTTAGTGGGACCATTCATCTTAACATGAACCATTTTTGTCTGAGTAAAGTTGCTATCCTGACAAATTGAAAGAATATTTTACTTTTTCTAATACTTAAAGATAGAAAATAGTCTGTAGGAATGTCTTAAACTCTATTAGCTCTGTTTCATTATTTTTGAAACTTTTTAGCCTACTTATATGTGGGAATGAATGTGTATTACTTTTGATGTTTTGCTTTATAATTTGGCCAGACATCAGAGGTAGTATCAAAAAATTGATCAATATTGAAGACATAAAAAATTACTAAAACTGTTAAATAAAATGGGGACTTAAAAAATGACACATTATTTAAAAGTTAAGTTAAACCATTATTCTTTGTGTTGCTTTTTTGTTTTGTTTTTTGAGACAGGGTTTCACTAGGTAGTCTAGTCTGGCCTTGATTGACTATATAGCCTATGCTAGCCTTGAGCTCACCAAGATCCTCCTGCCTCAGCCTCTTGAGTGCTGAGATTACATATAAGTGTCACTACACCTGGCTCTTAAATGTGTTTCCCCCAAAAGGTTTATTTTATGCTAAATATGTGTTAAATCAGTCTTTCAAAATTCTTTTTCCTTTGAAGAAATAACATGTTGCCAAGCATGTTGGTGCATCTCTGTAATCTCAGCACTCAGGCTGAGTTATGAAGAAAACTGAGAGTTTAAGGCCAGCCTGGTTTACATAGGGAGCTCAGGATCAGACTGTATTCTGGCAAGGTGGAGGCCAGCCCGAGCTGCATGACAAGACCCATTCTCAGAAAACTCAAAGAAAAAAAAGAAATAACATGTCCAATACAGGAGAAGTTCCCCACCATCCATTCCCCTTTATTCCCTCCCAGAAGATAATGTTATTCTGAGGTTGGTACATACCATTCCCACGACTCTTATACTTCAGTTACATTTGTTACTGACAATTGACAGTTTCTCTTCAAAATTTCAAGTGTTGCTTCATAGCTTTGGATTGTGAAGCATGATGGGAAATGATTTTTCACAATTAAAAAATACTAATTTACTGTGTACATTTATAGGAAGTTGTTTTTTGTGATACATTATCCAAAACTATACAGTATTTTTATACATTCTTTAAACTTTAGATATCTTCTGTGTTACTGCACGGGTGTCAGGGTTCCGTCACCACATGCAGTGGTGTCCTCTGGCCTTCTGTGGGGCAGGGCGGGGCATCTAAATAGTCCAGAGCCCTTTCCTAACTGCAGTCAGTGGTTAAAGGGAAAAAACCAATGTGGTGTTCAAAATGTGCATCTTCTCCAGAATCACTGAATGAGGAGAGACTAACTCACCAGAGACGGAGGAAAGTGTCAGGGGCTGACTGTGGTCTTTTGCTCCTGTTTAAGGTTACACGGTGTGGGCACACAACCTCATCGCCATTGCTCGTCTTCGTGGCTCTGATCTGAAAGTGCTTGAAGTCACTGAAGAAAGCATTGATTTTGACCAAGGTGAACTGGCTGACCAGGATGTGGATCCGGTGCACAACCTGATTGAGCAGGTATCCCTCGGCCTGGGTCAGCCTTGGCATGCAGTCATGGACATCGAATCCCTCAGCGTCTTCACTGAACCAAATCGTCATTTTTACAGAGAGATGCAAGCCTTCAGCGAAGACGTCTAGCTTTTTTTTAGTGTACAATTCCTGTGGTTACATATGCAAGTAGGGCCCCCCTTTTTTTCAGTAGTGTGAATTAATCCCTTTGTGCTGTGTTTAATCAGTATTAGCTTTATAGAATTATATATGTATATTCTACTTCTTGATCAAAGAACGTAGTCGGGTATTGGTTTAGAAGTTCAAAGTGACATTGTGTAGGGCTTTCACGGTTAATAGATCCTTACCAGACCTTAAGGACATACAACCGAAGACTGTCTGAGGTTGCTGGCTAACTTTGTTTTTCACCGAGTTACTCTGCCTTTTTGATATTTTTATTCTTTGTGTGTCAGAGTTCAGAGCTCAGGAGCCAAAATATTTTTATACGTATGTGTATATATATATATATCCATAGCCTGGTGGATTTGTATGCAATGCACTGCATCTATGTATTCCAGCAGCATTTCATTAATTTTGATTTGAAATGGAAGAGGAAAAGATACTGTAGTCCCCAATGGTTATCTTTAACGGAAAGCCAATTAACTTTCATTACCTATATAATAGTTGGTATCACAAATTGCCATGGTGAATCTCATACAGTAGTAGGGTAGAACATCGCTTAATCCGGTTTTTTAAAATGCATTTACATAAACATGAATACTCAAATCGTTGGATTTTTTAACTATATCTGACATAATTTTATTCATCAATTACGTTATACATTAAGTTAGCTTTCCAGCCCAGATCCCAAGTAGTGGAGGAAGAAAGAAGCTATTCCAGGGTAAAACCTCCTGAACAAAATCACAGTAGAGTTGTCAACACACATGCTTAAAAACATTAGTCGTGAAATCCCTTGCAATGAGTCACTGGATTTTTCTCTGTCAGCACGCGTGTCAGCTGCCAAAGAATAGACTTAAATGAAGTGCCCACATGCTGGCAGGGGCCGGCCCACTCTGGCCAGCCAGATACTGCTAGATTGTAATATTTAAGGTCGAATTTCGACCTGTGGTACACAGCTGTGCTGTGGCTCAGTCAGCAACCTCAACTCTGAAAAAACAAAAAAAAAAAGAAAAAAAAAAAAACATGCACCTGTTTCACTGTGAATAGTGAATGTAAAGGAAAGCAAGGAAGAACTGAAAGCTTGTTCTGTCAAAGGTATGAGCTGCTATTACACATGAAGAACATTCCAGGAAGTATGTTTTAAAACCTTGTTATATCTGAGGGCTTTAAAAGCCAATTTAACTGTTTCAGGGCAACCGCGGTACAGACGTGGTCTCTGTGAGACTTCCACCTGACCCAGTTTTAAGTGGTACGAATGTTGTGCATTTAACGTTAAAGGACAGTCTGCAATAATAAAGTAAGTAGCCAACGTGGGTGCCCAGCAGTGCTGAGACCTGGCTGCTCTATTGTAAGCTTTGGAAACACAATTTATGCAACAGATGTCCAGATATGATTCTATTTATGGAAAAAGTTTATATGTTTTACAAATGGTTTTACCATCTTATATTAAATGACCTTCTGACAGGTGTGCACTGTTTTGTCTCCAGTGAGCACATACCATGCGGATTTTATATGTACATCAGTAGTGTGAATCCACTGGCACGGTGTGTGGAAATGCCAGATGTGGTGAGATTTTATCTTGTGTATGTAATCAGATAAAATAACTCCTGACAGAAACTGTAAGGAAACCAGCCGAATGTTTGACCTGATGACTGATGTTGTACGGTTTATGTTAAATGTATATTCTTTTAATCAATGAATAAAGCATTAAAAAGTGACCACTGTAATATATTTTATTGTATAGGAAGCATGAAAATAAACTGCAATAACCTTTACATTGTGTATAATCGTATGTTAGCTACTGTTGTATTCTAGTGTAGCAAAAATTTAACTTGGGAATACATCAAAAGTTAGGTTCAACAGTTTCAAGGGTTTTAATTTTTTTAATTCACTCTGATAAAAGACAAGCAAGAAAGTGGACACGATTGGCACAAAATCCTAGAGTATTGTGCATTTAGAATACATTATTAATACAGTGAACATTTATAAACTGCAGGGGCTTTTAAAAATTCCTATACTACATGCAGAAATACTTAACTCATATTAAATACTTCATAAATCCTTTTATTGTTTTGTGTGATGTTGTGATTTCTATTCTTGGTTGTTAAAAACAGACAGCTCTTATGGGAAAGAAAATGCCTTTTTTTCTGTCTTCTAACTTGAATCATTGCAGACTTCACTCTGCTTCATTTTGGGATAGTCCAGTGTAAAAACAATTTTTTAACACATACTAATTCCTTATTTCTGAGGTGCATTCAGTACCTTTGAATGAATCTGCATGTCTGTATACTACAAGTGTACCCGAATGTGTGAGAAAGAGGTCTGTGTCTGAGTAGCGTGCGCGTGAGGGCTGCTGAGGTAAAGCCCTGAACTCAAAGGTTCGCTGGCTCCCGTCCTGACTCTGGTAGCACAAACCTTTTTCGAGCTCATTTCTTCATCTCTAAAATGAGGACTGCACTTGGTTATCCAACTGTGAGTCTTCACTTGAAAGTCTCCACTGTTCTTAACCCAGTCACCCATGGACAAAAGACCACCTTTGAGCCGAGGGTATTAAATAGTTTGAATATAGTTGACTAAGCTACAAAAAGTGTATATATTTAAAATTACCTTCCAGTTCCCCCTCCACCCCAGAGTGCAGAAGCTGGGGAGCTGGCACAGTGAGGCTTCTGAGGAACACTGTGCTTGTAGCTGAACGCAGATCCGCACCAAAGCTAGCTTGCTTGTGCTTTGGAGCATCAATCCGAGTGGGTCTCTGTGAAGCCAATCACTTGACACAGTGCTGAGTGATCTGTAAGCAGGTGTCAGTAATTCCCGAGGACCCCACCATATCTAAAGCAGTACCTCCAAGCCATATACCCCAACACACATAGAAAGTACTGTACAAGATGCTCATGCAAACTACAAGAAATTGGAACCAAAAATACCATGTTTCACAGTTGATGAAAAAATGCAGAGGGTTGGAGGCAGAAAATTAAATTTGTATAGAACTTTTGAATAAAATTTTATCAAATGTTTTGATAGCCACTCAGTGTTTATACTGCCTTGAGAAATGCCCAACAAATAGGTAATAAATGTATTTTTTTCCAGCCATTCAAAATACCGCTCTTGGGTATGGTGGCACACACCTTTATTCGCAGCACTCAGGAGACAGGCAGGATGATCATCAGGAGTTCGAGGCCAACCTATTCTGCACAAAGAAACACTGTCTCAGATCAAGAAAAAAGGAACTAATGAAATTAATAACAAAAATTGTTTGAGGTCGGATCGCGCAACATTACTTAGTTTGGCTTTCAAGTTCTGTGTTTTTTATTTTTTTATTTTTTTTAGGTGAGGTTGGGGTTTGGTTCTCGTGCTGCCCAGACTGGCTTTGAATTTACGCCACCCTCTCAGCCCCATGAGCAGTTGGAACTACATGAAGAGCCGAAATTAAAAAGTTTATCAGCTTTTCTTTTTCTTTCTTGAGTATAATGTTGAGATTTCTTGTACAGTAAGTTCTTGACTTACAAACAGCTTCTATTCCAGGAGAACATTAAGTCAGATTCGTTTTTGTGTAACAGTAAGTCTTACACAGTCTACCTGTGAAAGTTCACAACTTGAATAGTCTTGGTCAAGGACTTCTGTAATATGAATTAATTTCAAATTCAAATGGCTTGTTTTTATTACAGATATTTCAAAGAAATGATGAAGTGCAGTTTAGAATCCCCCACACATAACCCTGATATTAGTTGAGACCTCGGAGAGCAGACGTTGGCCACGAAGAAACACAAGTATCTGATACATGAAGGCAATTAAGAGGCCCTGCAGGGAAACTTTCTCTCACCCCAGCTGTCATCTTCCTCAACACAGTTACACCCATGGGCGTCATGCACCTGAGTGTCCCACCTGCTATCTGCACACCTGGCACTTGGTTTGCCCACAGCTTCCCAGACTCCTGTCCATGGTGAACACTCATCTGGCCTAGGAGGAGTGAGTTTCCCCATTTGTTCTCCGCCCAAGACACTGTCAGATCCAGCTCAATGGAAAACATAGGAGTGATGAACCGAGGCTCCTCGCAGCCTTTGAGGGCCATTGCTTTGGTGCAGTCTACTCATTGGGGCTGCTGGTGGTGAAAAGAAAGTAGACAATGCATGGTGAATCAATTTTCAGGACAAGTCATCTTTTCTGAAAGATTTTAAAAAATAAGGGCAAGATACACCATGAGCTGGCACGAAGAGACACTGGGAAAACACACTGTTACTTGCAACATTGGTTGGCAAGTCCAAGATCCAGGTACTGACCAGTATGGTGTCCAGCGAGAGCCCAGCCTCCCCGTGCAAGAGGGAGCCTTAAAGCCTGCATGTTGTCGCAAAAACAAAAGCAGGGGAAAAAACAAGGAGCAAACATTCCTGCAAGGCCATTTTATGCAGTACTACTCACCCAGTCATGAGAACACAGTCCTCGGGACCTGAACACTTCCTTTCAGTTGGGCCAGGCCACCGGCTCTCACCTCTCTCTCCTGGCACACTACACATCACCATGCTGGACAACTTTCTTTTCCTCACAAATTAAAGCGTTTTTTTTTTTTTTTTTTTTAGGGTCTTACTGTACAGTTCAGGCTTGGCCTTGAGTTCACTGTGTATTCCAGGCTGGCCTCAAACTCAGTGGCACTCCTGTCTCAGCCTCCGAAGCGCTGGCACTACAGGCATGCGCCACCATGCCCGTCAGCTCATTTTTGCTGACAGTTGTGTTTGTTTCCTCTTTGTGAATGTTATGCTTCCTTCCAAATTCTTGTAACTCACCTCCTCCAAGCTTTCCTGGACCTCCATTCTCTGCTCTAATTTCCTTCAGTGTACACAATTGCAACTGCCTTGTTTGCATTTTATTCATCACAGTCTCTCTGCCCACTGTTAATTTAGAACATAGGAGTTTACAGGGAGCAGACTGTCTCGTTCACAACTGTTTCCTACACTAAAGGCCTAGCATGCAGCAGAGACTCAATACATACTTGTCAGATGAATGGAATGTTAACATTTGGTTTCTGCGTTAATATTGCTATAGCTGGAAAATATTTTTAAGGGGACTATCAGGGAAAGAGGACAGAAAAAGATGAGCAAATAGGCTAAAAGGTTTGAAATTACAACAATACAGCAGCAAAAGAAAGACATACTGTCTCTTTAAAGAAACACTACACAAAGGAAAAAACATTACTGGAACATACGACCATGGATATTATAGGTGAGTATATCTTACTATCAAGAATTTTGAATATTGACCAAAGTTAAATCCCACCCTTTTAAAACAACTGCCAGGACTGGGAATTTAGCTCAGTGGCATAAGCGCCTGCCTTGCAAGTCCGTGGTTGTGAGTTCAATCCCCAGTACTAAAAAAAAAATTGCTTTTTGGTAAGGCGCTAAATTATTAATAGTGGGCAAGGCATTACAGTACTGTTTCTAGTGGTATGAGTTACAGACAGTGGTAACATTGACTCTTTTATTCATTTTAATTTGGGAATCTTGTCAAGATCCACAGGAGAAATGACGTATGAAACAAAACTTCTATCTTTTGTATACATCTGTGTGATATTCCATTTTTATCTAATTCAATTCTTATTGCTTCTAATTATATATAACAAATAGAATTTAAGATAACAAAACTTGCCAGGGATATAGCTTAGCAGCTCTGTGCCTGCCTGGCAACTACATGGTCATCAGTTCAATTCCTAGTACCAAAAATAAAATATAAAAATTAGTAGAAAACATTTTTGTTATTAAATGTTCTTTATGTGATTAAAAAGCAAATTCTTTTCCTAAGTACTTGGCTTACTACTAGATTGAAAAGGTAAGTTGTCTTATGTTTCATGGAATAATTAAGATCTAAATTTAGTCAATCATCTGTTTTCATAAAAGTCATTTATAAAGCCCAGTACTAGCATTTTCTAATTGTCCTTCCTTTCCAGTTTGTTTATGTTTTGTTGTTTTGAGTGGAAGTGGTGCTGGGATTGAATCCAAGGTGTCTCCTGCCCCCAGCCCTCAAGTTTTCTTTGCATCAGAAATATTTAATATTTTAAAACAATCAATTCACAACATAAAATGTTACTCATATCTAATTTCAATATTGAAAAATTATTTAGAAGTCAACTTCTCTAATTCTTCACTTTATGAAGAAACAAATATATTTAGTTTTTACTATTTACCTTTTTGCTTTAGATTATAACCAAAGAGTCATATAATTAACATTGTGCCACTTTAAAAAGCCTACCACTGATTAGTCACTTTTTTGTCTAAGCAAGACTGATAATTTCAGGAGCTTCTGAAAGAATATGACCTTAGTCACATACTTTTGTTCAATGAAGTAGTAACAAAATATAAACTGTTTGGGCTGTTTCAACTCCTCAACTCTTAATTAGATCCACAATCTTAATAATGTTTTCCTTTTATATTAATACTCAGAGCAAACTAAAAGTTAGTTCATAGGAAACAAGGAGATCAATCTTTTGCAAAAGGGGAGCAAAGATGAAAAGTGGAGGGAGGGGAAAAAGATATGTCATGTACACACACCAAAACCCCACAGGGAAGGCAGTCATTACGTACTGCAAACCGTACTCATTCAAGATGCTGATGGTGATGATGATGCTTTCCTTCCAAATTTTCTGAAGACTTCTAATTTCTGGCTGAACTTACTACGGCACAAGGCATGTAAAGGTAAATAATAAAGTGTACACTAATGACGACACCATCAT